TGCCATGCCACACGACGACAAGTATGCTACGGTGGGAAGACAAATTTGAGTTATTCCAATGCAAATGATCATTGCTTTTCACAAGGGGCTTACATAACTTTATTTGAACAAAGATCCAAATATTTTTTTGAGGTGCTCACCGCATCAGGTAGTTGAGTGTGAGGTTTTGAAAGTTGACCTTTTCTGTCTTATATGATGTCACTTCACATTCACTGTTCGAAAGTTCAATAATTCAACCTATGGACTCTATGAACCTCTATGCTTGTCGTTTTCATAAACGGCCAGTTAAAAGTGAAGAATTCTGGGTTTTCAACATTCCTTTTGGTATATAACCAATTATTTGCTTGCACCAAATGCATGAGTTTACATGCTGCGGAAGGTGAAGCTTCAAATAAGTAAACTTGGTCATGACAGTTAGTATTATTCTTTACTTGTACATTCATATCTATGTGGTTTCCAGATACTAAAGAACAAATCATGTATGTAGGTATGTATGGAGGTAGGTAGGTAACCTATGTTTGATAGAGAAATCAATTCGATATGTGTGTCTAAGAAGAAACCTGTTGTTGAGAATGTAAAATAATAGGAGCTCTTTAAAATCTTAGTAAGAATCTGGAGTAATTTAAATATTTAATGCATGGAGTAAAAGGAATGCCAAAAAGAGAGACAATTTAAAAAAAAAAAAAATGTAAAACAAAAGACAATGTTTGCGACAAATATAACTTCCATAGAAGTTGTGGAAGTGTTTCAGGTAGATCAAGTGTTTAACTATTGTCAAGCAAGTGGAATTACAATATAGAAACATTTGAAAAAGAGTCAAAGGAAAGACATCTTCCTGCAGCCAATTGGCTTGACAACGATGCACGAATGCATGCCTAAGAAAATGCTAGTTTTGACGGCAACCTGCTATATGATAAGTGGGAAGACAAGTTTGTGTTACTTCAATTCTAAAGACAATTGTTTTAAGAAGGGAGTTAACGTAGAATTATTTGGGCAATGATGATAGATGTTTGCATCTTGAGTAGTGAGTTTGTGAAGGTTGAGGTTTGCTGGCTTTTATGACTTTCTTAGTTCACATTCAATAATCTAAAGCTTGTCCGTTTCACTCATAAGTTCACCATTCAGTATCAGCTGATATTTGATTATATGGTATCAGGATCAAAGGGGGCCATGCTAAAGTCTTGAGCTATAATTTAAAGAGGTATATGAAGAACTCAATGTATGAATTGCCTCTGGGGTTTGGTATAGTGGTCGGAGCACGTCATGTTATGAGTTGAGCGCACGATTCGAGTTTGAACCCTACCACATAAAAGGTCTGGTATTAAAAAGAGAAGGGATCCCAGGAGTCTCTAACTATGTGTCATTGACCCTTGCGGATTTCTCAGTTATTAAAAAAAAGAATGGAATATATGGACATCAATTTTTAATTTGAAGCTGTGAACATATATTTTATTGTTAGGTCAAGGGTAAAGCTGAGAGACGAGAGGGGAGGAAGTCACTCAGCCAAATGATATTACCTATTTTTCATTATACTATTTTATAGATGTAGCATTATTAAGTATCATGTTTCATCATTAGTTGGGCGGATCTATGCCATAAGTTATGGGTTCGGCAGTACCCAGTAGCTTTGTTTCAAACTCTATATTTGTGTCAAAAATTCCACGTGCCTTATCTTTCACTAAGTCAGCATATATTCCAAGAGATTGTAGGTGTTTTGAGACACACTCGTTCTCGTTCATAATATTAGTTTATTCCTTCCTGACAACAAATAGACAAGGGAATGGATGCACTACACCTATGCTTGTTGGGTTTTGGCATTGAGTTTGTGTGAATAATGAGAAATGATGGGAGCTCTTTGAAATTTTGAGAAATACCCGGGGGTGAGGCTGGGGGCTGGTGGAGTAAGTATACGACGACTGCAGAAAAGAGAGAAAACCACACACACAAAAAAAGAATCTAAGCAAGTAAGGAACTTGTCAAGGATAATAGAAAGTGATTGGAGATCTTTGAAACATAGGAAAGTATTCGGGGCAATTTAATGCGTGGAGTAAGGCGAATGCGGAAATCAGAGAGGAAGAAACAAAAAGGAAAGTGAACATTGAATGTTGCGAAGTATAAATGCGAGAAAGAAAAAATCAAAGCATAGAAGAATCTTGTTGATGATAACAAAAAGTGATGGGAGCTCTTCGAAGCCTTGGGAAGTATCCTGGGAAATTTAATGTGTCGAGTTAGACGAATGTGGAAAAGAGAGAGAAAGAACAAACAAGAAACTTCCTGATGATAAAGGAAAGTAATAAGAGCTCTTTAAGCCTTGGGAAGTATATAGGACAATTTAACACATGGATTAATACGAATATGTATAGGATAGTGAAAGAGTTCTGATTTCGTTTTTTAATCTCGAAAAGAACTCTCACAATACATATAAACTTCCTTGAATTGAGAATGTTTTCAAGTAGATTAACTGTTAAACTATTACCAAGAAATGGAGTTGCCCTGTCGAAGTATTTATTGCCATATGGGAAAGGGTCGATGGAAAGGGAAGACTTGACGCCAACTAGCTTGACAACAATCCACAAATACTCGAGAAGATGGTGGCTTTGATGGCCAATAATGGATCTAGTGCCATGCCACACAACGAAAAGTATGCTACGGTGGGAAGACAAATTTGAGTTATTCCAATGCAAATGATCATTGCTTTTCACAAGGGGCTTACATAACTTTATTTGAACAAAGATCCAAATATTTTTTTGAGGTGCTCACCGCATCAGGTAGTTGAGTGTGAGGTTTTGAAAGTTGACCTTTTCTGGCTTATATGATGTCACTTCACATTCACTGTTCAAAAGTTCAATAATTCAACCTATGGACTCTATGGACCTCTATGCTTGTTGTTTTCATAAACGGCCAGTTAAAAGTGAAGAATTCTGGGTTTTCAACATTCCTTTTGGTATATAACCAATTATTTGCTTGCACCAAATGCATGAGTTTACATGCTGCGGAAGGTGAAGCTTCAAATAAGTAAACTTGGTCATGACAGTTAGTATTATTCTTTGCTTGTACATTCATATCTATGTGGTTTCCGGATCCTAAAGAACAAATCATGTATGTAGGTATGTATGTATGTAACCTATGTTTGACAGAGAAATCAATTCGATATGTGTGTCTAAGAAGAAACCTGTTGTTGAGAATGTAAAATAATAGGAGCTCTTTAAAATCTTAGTAAGAATCTGGAGTAATTTAAATATTTAATGCATGGAGTAAAAGGAATGCCAAAAAGAGAGACAATTTTTTTTTTAAAATAATGTAAAACAAAAGACAATGTTTCCGACAAATACAACTTCCATAGAAGTTGTGGAAGTGTCTCAGGTAGATCAAGTGCTTAACTATTGTCAAGCAAGTGGAATTACAATACAGAAACATTTGAAAAGGAGTCAAAGGAAAGACATCTTCCTGCAGCCAATTGGCTTGACAACGATGCACGAATGCATGCTTGGGAAAATGCTAGTTTTGACGGCAACCTGCTATATGATAAGTGGGAAGACAATTCAAAGGACAATTGTTTTAAGAAGAGAGTTAACTTAGAATTATTTGGGCAATGATGATAGATGTTGGCATCTTGAGTAGTGAGTTTGTGAAGGTTGAGGTTTGCTGGCTTTTATGACTTTCTTAGTTCACATTCAATAATCTAAAGCTTGTCTGTGTCACTCATAAGTTCACCATTTAGTATGAGCTGATATTTGATTATACTGTAGCAGGATCAAAGGGGGTCATGATAAAGTCTTGAGCTATAATTTGAATAGGTATATGAAGAACTCAATGTGTGAATTGCCTCATCCGGGGGTTTGGTATAGTGGTCGGAGCACATCATGTTATGAGTTGAGCACATTCGGTTCTGTTCGCAGATCAGGAACATTCGCCGTTGCGCACTAGCTTGTAGTTTAGGGGTATATGTAGGGGTGCATGATTCGAGTTTGAACTCTACCACAAAAATGGCCTGGTATTCAAAAGAGAAGGGATCCCAGGAGTCTCTAACTATGTGTCATTGACCCTCGCGGATTTCTCAGTTTTTTAAAAAAAGAACGGAATATATAGACATCAATTTTTAATTTGAAGCTGTGAACATATATTTTATTGTTAGGTCAAGGGTAAAGCTGATAGACGAGAGGGGAGGAAGTCACTCAGCCAAATGATGATATGACCTGTTTTTTCTTATACTGTTTTAGTGTAGCATTATTAAGTTATCATGTTTCATCATTAGTTGGGCGGATCTATGCCATAAGTTATGGGTTCGGCAGTACCCAGTAGTTTTGTTTCAAATTCTATATTTGTGTCAAAAAATCCACGTAATAATTAAAATATCCCGGTCCCAATTATTGTCTTGTATTAGAATCCAGAACCTATAAACTTAAAATCTTTAATTCGACTTTGACCTAAACGTCTTAGTTTCTCTATGGTGCAATGCTACAGGCATACTAAAAAGAAATAGTGTTATTCTGTACTGACATCAATTAGTTTTACTGATGTATTATCTTAGTTCTTTTTAATGTGATCTTCTCATAAACCTTACACTTATCTTGAGATATAAAAATATAAATTCTTCTATACATTGAAATTATATCATATTGCCATTAAAATTCTAGGAAATGTGATAAATAGGACTTGTCTAATATCATTATTTGAAAGAAAGAGCTTAGGAGTTATTGTTATTTTCCATTCAACAGGTTATTATAGCCCACATATTTATGTTCATTAACTGTTATTTTCCATTCCGCAGGTTATCGCCCACAGAAAAAATCTAGTGTTGACTAAAGATTAGCACTGAAAGTTGTTTTCTTCACAAAATCTTTCTATCTGATTTAATATTAGATTTTTTAAACTGGTTTGACTTAAGACTAGCACGTTAACGTATTAAATTCTTTGACCTATTTTTTTCCTTTTTTTTTCTCTGTTGATCTATATATTTCTCAGTTCATTGAAGAACAACCTTGCATCTAACTTCCAGTTCTAGTTTGCATCTTCTCATGGGTCGCAATAAGCTTGTGATGAAGAAAATTGAGGATCCAATATCCCGTCAACAGTTCTATTCAAAGCGCAAGGATACCATTCTTAAGAAGTCAAATGAGTTGGCGGTCTTATGTGATACAGATGTTGCGTTGTTGATGTTTTCTCCAGCTGGTCAAGTGACCATCTATTCTAGCAAAGAAAGGTTAATGGAATTTCTAGAATGATCTTTTTTGTTTGAACATTCTATATTTTCTTTATGATACAAAATGTGATATGATTTCTTTTGGTTGCTTAGTGTTGAGGATATCATGGTCCGTGCAATGAACAAGTCTGTGAATCAGCGGTATGTTTATTTCAATATGCCAGATCCATGAACTAGACTTTGCCAATTCCATTTACCTGACTATCTCAAATGTTTTTTTTGTCGTCCCAATCCACATGATTGTTGAAGACTCATACTAAATCCAAATGAACAGGTACTAAGTTTTACACATCTTTTACTGATCAACAGCCTCTACCGGGAAGTCCTTAGAGTTTTATCTGACCTTAACATGACTTTTATTTTGCAGCTTTTGATGCAGAGTCTCACACAGTCAAAATCTGAAGGCCAAATGGTTGGAAAGATAGCTATGTATGACACTCTCCTTTGGCACTCCGTTTATATGTATTAGTCTATTAGTTCGTCTGAGTGGATACATGACTTCTCTCTTTCTTTTCTTTTTTTCCTTTTTTTGGTTGGTATTTTCTACGTGATTGAATAATTTTTTTCATTTTTTGCTGGGTATATTACGATGCTGATGATTGGTCAACGTGCTTTAGTGCTGAGGTAAGATTTGATGCTTCCACATTTGTGTAGACTTAAAAAAAACTCCAAGGATATATCACTTGGATTGGGTGATCTTAAGCCAGTAGTAATAAGCTTATATTTGTTATTACTGAAAACTCGTACTTGATATATTTTCCATGTGTTTCCATATTAGGCTCATGGGAAGAAGCTTAATGAGCTCAAAGAAACACTACGTGAAGCACAACAGAAAATAAGGTTAAAGAGTTCCTCTTTATTTCCTTCTCGTCTTTCTTTTTTTGTCGTGCATCTCTTTTTTGATATTCTATTTCTAAAAAAGGAATAACGTTTATCTTCCTTGGATGGGGCAGGTATTACAAACCGCAAGTGGAGAATATCAGCTCAGTCCAAGAAGCAGATGCATATGCGCAGTTCCTTAGGAGTAATATGGAACAGATTCAACAATCAAAAGTGAGCATATCTCAAGGCTGATGCAATTTTTTACTTCTATTTCAATAAAAAATAGTAGCTGTTGGTTAGTTGAATTAGGACCGGCATGATCATGCTTTGTACTTTTCTTATCAGGCAAAACTCTTGGGTGTCCAAGGATTTCTCCAGAGAAATGAATATCCCGCGGTAAGCCATTTTTGATTGTTTCATATTTGGAAGGACGTTTAAATGTTTTACTGGCATCCAGTATGGAAAGTAGCTAACTGTTAGCATTATTATTTCTAGGTCAACACAGAGGATACGGCTGCTGCAGGTAACGTATCTTCATATTTAAATGCTTACTAGTAACTCTTTTGAGTGCTTTATATATGTTGTATTTCCTAAAGTTGTCAATCTCTGAATAAGAAAAAAATGGCACTACTATCTTCATATTGCAAAACATGAAATGATTGAAAGAATGTTCTTCTCTCGCTCCCAAAAGTTAACTAAGTCTCAAGAGGTCTTCTTTTTTTCCACTCCACTCATCAGGAGGATCAATAGTGTTCCACTTACCCTCCAGCATGACTCGGACCCTCAATCTACCGGTTCAGGAGGTCGTTTGACCATCTGATTTGCAGTGATCTAATTCAAGTACCCCTTATATCTATCATATCATCTTAGAGAAAATTTCAGGTCAATACCTCAGGGTCATCTAGTTTACAAAATAGGTACACAGTGTATAGGTAGTGTGTACTCTATACTAATTGAAATATCTATACTTTATACTTCAGCCATTTTTGGTAAACTAGAAGGCCGAATGATATATATATTAATAAATATACATTATGATTTCTATGCCTCAGTCTCAAACAAGTTGATGTCGGAATCCAGACTTCTTCATTTAAACTCATTTCATACCATCATTGTATTAATAAGTGAACTAGATCTATAGCAACTTTTTTTTTTATTTTCAAACACTTGCGTGTTACTCTGCTGAAACTTGCTTCTCTGGATTTGTAGGAACCAGTAGGGGATGGAAGTTTTGAGGAAACAGGCCGGATCACGGTGGAGTAGTAGCTGCGGGTGTCCAACAGCTGCAGCAGGAATATAATTATGTTAAGAACTTAGTAGAATAAATAACTTGTCCCAATCAGGCAAGCAAAAGTATGAATAATGTTGCATATAGCTACTATGTAATGCAACTTTTAGAATATGACATCAAAACATAGGTATTGTGTTTTGAAATAGAAAACAGTTTGGTTTTTATTTTGGTAACTTTTGCATCCTCCTAGTTCATAATGCTTTTGTTAATTTTCTGAATCTTTTAATTAGAAACTAGACATAGTAGCAATGAAAAAACTACTTTCTTCTATTCATTTTGTAAGTGATCAAGAATCTTACTCTTCGACTTAAAAGTAATTCTACAAAAATGGACATGTTAATTATTTGAGGAGCAGAAGTTTTCTCTCAGATTCTTCAAACTTTTCAAAATGATTTTGCCTATAAAAATGTAATTTTAAGGTGCTTTTATATAGTATTGGATATGATAATACATCTACCTCGTTCCCTCCACTTCCGTATAAGGACTTTTGTAATTGTGGAGTGAGAATTTTAACAAGGGGATTCAAAAAATTTGCAAGAATTCCACAAATGGGTTCAAAATTGCAATGTAAAACGATTTTTGAACCAGCGTTGGCGCTTTAATGAAAGCTTTTCTTTGATCAGTGGGAATGAAAATTTTATATAATTGGTAAATACTAGCCATGAAATGTTTTTGGTCCTTTCCACTATCATTCTCATTGCAACAACGACTATGCCTCAGGAAGTTAACATAGTAAGGAACTTGATGATAATAGAAAGTGATTGGAGCTCTTTAAATGTAATATCCTATTCTGAAATAAGGGCATATATGCCATTTTAGTAAGTATTAAAAACAAATAGGAGACAAATTGTTTATTTGACCAAAAAGTATTTTTGAAAAAAAATATACAAATAAAATGAGAGGAAAGGCTGCAACCTGGCAGCAAACCAAAAAAAAATAATAAAATAATAAATCCTAACCCTATTCCTTTAATTCACGTAGCAAGAAACGGGAAAATCTTTGGAGTCTTTGTTGAAGGATTCTGTGGCGGCTATTTGTGAAAAAGCGAGAAGGAGGAAGAAAATTATGGATCTGCCTTTCCATTCGAGTGAAGCTAAAGGTGTTGGAAGATATTTAAATGAGAGAGATAGAAGTGGTGGGTAACTTTTCTGAACTTAACTTAACTTAAAGATTTATATTTGTAGATTCCATGACTATAAAATTGGGATTGTAAGTGTTTAAGAAAATAAGGGTTAAAGAGATAGATGAACCTGTTAAATTCTTGGAATTCGAGTGGGTACCTTAGATGATTAAACTAAGCTCTTGTATTTCGGCATCTATGAAAGGAAATAGACGAACAGTAAGATTATATTAGTTTATTTCAATGTTATACTAATCAAGATAACACTGTTTTGTGCGATTTAAACCCCAATTAGGCGACTTGGCAGATGAGTCAGTCATGAAAGGGCTGGGTTTAACTATAGTATGGATTACCTTAAACGAAGAAACTAACATGAAATTGATATGAACGTGATTATAGATTGATTGAAGAGAGCCATATGGATTGCTTGCGATGACAAGTTTGGTATTTCTATACGACTACTGTGAATAGTAATCTTACCACAATTTGTATTTCACAAATTTCATGATTTTTACATGGTTTGTAAAGTAAATGCGTTATCGACTGTTTGAACTTGCATGTGGGACAAGTCTTTTACTTGATATGATACTGAAAAGATTATTTGAGATGATCTCATTTTTTACAAGATATAATTACTGTTATTGAAAAGGTTTTACACTTATTTGAGAAATAGTGTTTTGACAGGTGATTGTTAAACTTTGAAATGATATAATTTGATAAGATTTAAATGCCCTGTTCGATTTTGAAATGCTTCTACTAATTACAAGAAAAGTATAAATGGGAGTAGACCTTGATGAATCCCGTAGCTAACGGTGGGTTCGTTAGACCTGGTGCACCTTGTAGTACTGATTACGGATAAAGCCGTTGCTAGTGGGAAGGTAGAGCTCGTATATTGTTACTGATATCCTTCGAGTAGGGATCTACTGATATGAATATTTAACTCCTTTATGAGGAGTTCACTGTTATTGGTTACTTCTTAAAGAGAAGGCCACACTGATTACATGATTCATCCTTGGAAACCTCCCAGATGTAAGATTTGATATGAAAGTATTTTTCTGAGTTTACTATTAAGTATTTACATTGATTTTGCTTATATGAGGCACATAAGATTGAATATTGTATTGTTTCTGAAAGGGCATTATTTCATCATTTTGATTATTATACTAGCATGTTTTCTGACTTGTCCCTCATTAAAATGGTTGTGGTTAAGTATTATGACTCACTGAGCTAGCGTCTCACTCCTCGCTAATTGTTTTTACAGAGACTCAGGTGCTATTGAAGAGGATTTCATTAACTAGAAAGTGTGATTTGGTAGCATCTGGTGAGCCTCGCATTGCTTCGCGTGGCAAGAGAACTATTGGTTTGCTATGGTATTATTTAGTTTCTTCAAAAACTCGTAGAGTCGCTCCATTTTTCATTCCTTTGATTTGAGTCATGATTAGTCCTTCATATTGTAGTCAAGTGACTGGTTTGGAACTTCCTTTTTCGTAATTTTGAGATGAATTGGTTTTATTGCGTGACAATTAGATCATTGATGGATTTATGTGGTGGCTTATAGTTGCTATTGGCTGTGTTGTGAATTTCCGAGACAGGGAAAATTCAGTATAGGCCTAAAAACAAAGGAAACTCTACCCGATTTTCTGTAGATTTATGTTAAGGCTTGCTTTGGGATTCTTTCCCCTTAGCGCCGGTCATGGACCTAATTTGGGTCGTGACATTAAAACATTGGAATGTATCAAAACAAACAAGAAACTTCTTGATGATAATGGGAAGTGAACACTGAATGTTGGGAAGTATTGGGGGTAATTTAATGAGTAAAGTAAGACGAATGCGGGAAAGAGGAAATCAAGGCAAAGAAGAAACTTGTTGATAATAAAAAGTAATGGGAGCTCTTTGATCCTTGTGGAAGTATCCAGGACAATTTAACACGTTTAGTAATACGAATGTGGCAAAGAAGTGGAATTACAATTCAGAAATATTAGAAAAGGATTGAAAAGAAAGACATCTTCCTGCAGCCAATATGCACAAATGCTTGAGAAAATGCTTGTTGGGATTTATTCAGTTTTGATGATTGACAAAGAATGATGAAATACGTCAGTCAACATGGTCTAAAGGTACACTGACACGAGCAATTGAATTCGGACAAGCTTTTAAAATGAATAAAGACAACAAAAATCAAGAAATGAATAATGCAAGTTCATGATAAAACTCAAGGAAACAAACAAGTGATGAATTGAAAAGAAAGAATCAATGAATTTGATTTGAAGAGTCTAAAGAGGCAAGGAGTTTGAATTGAAGGAGTCCTCACTTGAAGTAGAACTCTAAGTCGAGAGAGTTTAAGTCAATGTGGAGTTTGAAGTGAAGTATAACTCCATGAAGAATTGCGCTTAAATATAGATGAATTCGTTCAAAATAGGGTGCACTTATCGAGCAAAAAAGGATAATTGAAAAAATTGACTTCGTAAGTGTTACCAGCAAATTGAAGGAACACATCGAAGAACCTGGTCCTATTAGAGTTAATGCATTGTGAGTTCTTCTTTGTTATTGAGTCTTGATGTAATCTTAGTTCAGGGAATTGTAAACTGAATTAAGAGTGTTGTCTTCAAGTTGGGATAGCTCGAAGAGTTGGGAACACATACCTTGGAGATTTGTGTTGAAGTTTAGGAATTAGAGGTAGTTCCTAGGATTGCAAGGGTTGTAATCTGAATTTATAAGTTTAGGAATCAGAAGTTCCTCGGATTGCAAGAGTTGTAATCTGAATCCATGACTTGAATTTTAGGAATTAGAGTTAGTTCCTTAGGTTATAGAGTTTGTAATCTTAAACTGTTAAGGCTCATTGATTCAGTGAAGTTGGAGTCAAATCCTGTAGGGGTACAGTTCATGATTTTTTACACCTTTTGAGTTGGGTACAGTTCATGATTTTTTACACCTTTAGAGTTGGGTATTCTTCACGTAAAAATATTGTGTGTTTTTTACTTACTATTCTTACTGCTTTATTTGAACATGCTAGGCAACCTCTTTTACACTAAGACGAAAAGTTAAGTTAGTAGTTGAACTCTGGGTCGTGTAAAATATCAATGCTAATTTTGACGGCAACCTGGAACCTTGCAAAACAACCATGTATATATGATACATTGGGAAGACAAGTTTTTGTTACTTCAATTCGAAAGACAATTTCTTTTAAGAAGGGAGTTAAGATAGCACTATTTGAGTAGTAAATCCGTGAAGGTTGAGGTTTACTAGCTTTTATGATTTTCTCAGTTCATATTCAATAATCTAAAGCTTGTCTGATTCAGTCATGAGTCATGACTAAATAAAAGAGAAGAATTTTTTGGGTTCACCATTCAGTATTAGTTGATACTGGATTCTACGTATCATGATCAAAGGGTGTATTGAAAAAGTTTTGGGCTATAATTTGAATAGGTATATGAAGAACTAAATATATGGATTGCCTCCGGGGGGTTTGGTATAGTGGTAAGAGCACCACATGTTATGTATGAGTTGAGTGCACGATTCAAGTTTAGATGAACCCTACCACAAAAAAGCCTGGTATTTAAATAGAAAAGTGTAGTATGATAGACCTATTATCACAAGTGTCTAACCATGTGTCATTGGTTCTTGAGGATTTCTCGGTTATTAAGAGGATGAGGCACAAGTACCCCCTAGACTATGGCCGAAATTTCATAGACCCACCTTAACTAAACTAAGGCTTTATTACCCGCAAACTCATTTGTTTTGTAATTTTATACACCTTTTGGCTTACATGACACACTCCGTGACTCCACATAGTTGAGGCGTGTGGGAGATGCTTGGATGTCACGTAAACCAAAAAGTTGTATAAAATTACAAAAAAAAATTGGGGGGGGGGGGGGTTAATAGAACCTTAGTTTAGTTAAGATGTGTCTCTAAAATTTCGATCATTGTCTAGGGGATACTTATGTCTTATACCTATTAAGAAAAAGAACATAATATATGGACATCAAAATATTTCCTAGAAGTTGTGAATATATATTTTATGGTTAGGTCAAATGATATGGACCTATTTTTTTTCATAACTATTTTATTGTTGTAGAGTTATTAAGTATCATGTTTCATCATTAGTTGGGCGGATCTTCCTCGTAAGTTATGGGTTCGGCAACACCCAGTAGCAGAGTTGTAACAAGGGTCGGCCCAAACCCGGCCAAGCCTCGCAGGCCAAGAAATTTGAAGGGCTAGGCCGGGTCAGTCCTTCATTTGGAAGGGGCTGAAAATGCTCAACCCAACCCTAGAAGAGGGCCAAGGGCTGGAGCGGGCTAGCCCTTCTTTTTTTCTTTTTTCATTTTTTTTCTTTTCAAACAATGGTGTTGTTTCAATAACACTAGCAAAAGAATCTAGTGTAATTAGTATGTATCTCGCATACCAGATACGCGAGCGAGATAAGAGAGTGACAAGCAAGATGGGAGGAGGCGAGGGCGTGAGATTTGTCTATGTATCCTAGGTACATGCAAATTTACTTGGATAGAGTGTATCTAGAACAAATTAACCTAATTTTGAGTCCATATATTTTGAGATACATGTATCTGGACGTACCAAAAATCTAGTAAGATTCATAATATTACAACATAGCGTGTATTTAAGTATTAAATTATATACTAGTGAGATATTGTAAGTTACCCTTAAATAAAAAGTTTTGGCCCATGGGCCGACCCCGATCAAGCCTCAAGGGCCAAGAGCCTATATTGGCCGAGCTTATAAGCCCTAGTTTTAAATGGGCTTGAAAAATCCTATCCCCACCCTACCCCAATAACGGGTTGGGTTGGGCCAGCCCCATGGGCTTAGCTCGTTTTGATTTTAACTCTATATTTGTGTCAAAAATTCACATAATATGTACAACTAATATATCCTGGTCCCAATCATTGACTTGTCTTAAAATTCAGAACCTATAAACTTAAAATCTTTAATCCAACTTTGACTTAGATGTCTTGGGTTTTTTTATGGTGCAATGCTATAAATTTGTTTTACTGATGTATTATTTTAGTTCTGTTTACTGTGATCTTCCCATACACCTTATACTTCTCTTCAGATATCAAAATATAAATTCTTCTGTAAGTTATAATTATATCATATACCCATTATAATTCTAGGAAAAATGATAAATAGGACTTGTCTAATATCATTATGTAAAAGAAAGAGCTTTGGAGTTACTGTTATTTTCCACTAAGCAGGTTAAAGCCCGCAGATTTCTGTTCATTAATTGTGTAGAAAATTTTTAGTGTTGACTAAGACTAGCGTTTAAACTTGTTTTCTTCTCAAAATCTTTTGATATGTGATTCAATATTAGATTTTCTACTCCCTCTGTCCCTAATTACTTGTCCATTTTGACAAATCAAGAAAGGACAAATTTTTTTTACCTATTATACCCTCAATTTATTACTTTGAAAAAGGTAAAACTTTTTGAAAATCTTAAGTTTTTAATTCATCCACTTCATAATTAATAGGGGTAAAATGGTAAACTCACTATGTCAATTATTGTTTTCTTAATAGGTGTGCCAATTCAAAAGTGGACAAGTAATTGGGACAGAGGGAGTATTAGATTGTAAGTGTTTTGACTTACAAATAAGTCAATACATTAAATGCTTTGACTTTTGTTTTTCCTTTTTTTTTTGTTGATCTATATATTTCTTAGGTCATTGAAGAACAACCCTGCATCTAACTTCCAGTTCTAGTTTAATTTGCATTGTTCCATGGGTCACACTAAGCTTGTGATGAAGAAAATTGAGGATCCAACATCCCGTCAACAGTTCTATTCAAAGCGCAAGGATACCATTCTTAAGAAGTCAAATGAGTTGGCTGTTTTATGTGATGTTGATGTTGGTCTTCTAATGTTTTCTCCAGCGGGTGAAGTGACCAGCTATTCTAGCAAAGAAAGGTGAATGAAATTTCTACAATGAACATTCTACGTTTGGTTTATAGTACATAATTTCATATGATTTGTTTTTTGGTTGCTTAGTCTTGAGGATGTCATGCTCCTTGCTATGAACAAGGCTGGTGAACTGAACAAGCGGTATGTTTATTTCAATATGCCAAATCCATGAATTAGACTTTGCCAATTCTAGTTTAACTGACCATTGATCTAATTTTATTTTATTTTTGTTGAAGATCTCCTGAAAATCCAAATGAACAGGTATTAAGTTTTACACATTGATCAGCAGCCTCTTCCGGTAAGTCCTTGGAATTTCATCTGACGTTTTATTTTGCAGCCTTTGACGGAGATTCTCACACAATCAAAACATGAAGGCAAAATGGTGGAAAAGATAGCGATGTATACCACTCTCCTCTTGCACTCTGTGTATATATGTATTAGTCTATTAGTTTGTCAGAGAAGATACATGACTTCTCGAGTTTATTTCTTTTGCTTTTTGTATAGTATTTTCTACATGATTGAATAACTTTTGTCTCTTTTGTTGGGTATTTTTACGATGCTGATGATTGATCAACGTGCTTTAGTGTTGAGGTAAGATTAATATGTAGAAAGGGGATCACCTTCCGCCAATATTTGTTATTACTGAAAACTCGTAACTTGATTTATTTTTTATGTATTTCCAAAACAGAGCCATGAGGAGAAGCTTAATAAGCTTAAAGAAAGGCTAAGTGAAGCACAACAGAAAATAAGGTTGAAGAGTTGCTCACTCTATATTTCCTTCCTGTCTCTCTTTTTTGATATTTTAAAAGATTTCCCTCTTTTATAATGATTTTTTCTGTTGGATCGGGTAGGTATTACGAACCACAAGTGGAGAATATCAACTCTGTCCAAGAAGCTGATGCATATGAGAAGTTCATTAGGAGTGCTATGGAACTAATTCAACTATCAAAAGTGAGCATATCTTACAATTTTTACTTCAATTTCTTAAGGCTAGTTGAATTAGGACTGGCATGATCATGTTTTGTACTCTTTTTACCAGGCAAAACTCTTGGGTGGCCAGGAATTTCTCCAGAGAAATGAAAATGTTGCGGTAAGACATTTTTGGTTGTGTCATATTTGGAAGGATGGTTAACTGTTTTTCGAACATCCAGTATGGAAAGTTAACTGTTTGCATTGTAATTTTTAGGTGTCTTCTGTCAACGCAGTGGATATGGCTGCTGCAGGTAACGAATCATATTCAAATGCTTTAGTGGTAACTTTTTGAGTGTATATGTAGTGTACACTCCGGCCATTTTTGGTAAACTAGATGGCCAATTGGTATATATATTAGTAAATATATACAATAACTTTTATGCCTCAGTCTCAAACAAGTTGATGTCAGAATTGGCACTTCTTCATTTAAACTCAATACCACCATCATACTAATCTGCGAACTCTATAGCCACTTTTTTCCCAAACATTTGCATGCTGAATTAGATTACACAAAGGAATCTACTGAATCTTGCTTCTCTGGATTTGTAGGAACCAGTAGGGGACGGATGTATTGAGGAAACAGGCCGGATCGCAGCGGGGAAGTAGCTGCGGGTGTCCAACAGCTGCAACAGGAATTATGTTATACTAGTTTATAGGTTAAGAACTTGGTAGAATAAATAACTTGCCCCTATCAGGCAAGCAAAAGTATGAATAATGTTGCATTTGTCTATTGTGAATGCAACTTTTAGAGTTCTTGTATGGCATCAAAACATAGGTATTGTGTTTTGAAATAGAAAACAATTTGGTTTGGTTTCGATAATTTTTGCATCCTTCTAGTTCATAAGGTTTTTGTTAATTTTCTGAACCTTTAAATTATAAGCTAAACATACGAGAGTGATCAATAGATCTTAATTCTTCAACTTAAGGGTGTGTTTGGTATGAAGTTTCCAATTTTCTCATGTTTGGTTGGGTTAAATGTTTTGGAAAATGTTTTCCAAATCAACTCATTTTCCTCAAATTTAAGGAAAATGACTTCCCTTCAAAACTTAAGGAAAACATTTTCCAAAACTCTCTTCCAACTTCAAATTACAATTACTTTTTTATTGAAAAAATCAATTTATTTTGTCCCTATCCTCAAACCAACCCCCCCCCCCCCCCCCCAAAAAAAAAAAAAAATTAAATTTAAAGCTTGTTTTTAGATTCAATTTTTTTACCCACCCTCAGCCCTACCCCTACCCCCACCCCCTCCCAAAAAAATATTAAAAATTATTTTTAAAAGATATTTCTAATTTCATTTTTTTATTTTTTACCCTCGCCCCCCCCCCCCCCCCCCCAATCAATTTTTTTTATTGTTTTTAAAAAATAATTTCAACTTCAAAATTTTATTTTTTCACTTCAGCCCTCGACCCCCCACCCACCCCTACCAGCCCCCCACCCCACCCACCCCCTACCAGCCCCCATCCCCCCCAAAAAAATTTAAGTTTGTTTTTAAAAAATATTTTCAACTTCAAAATTTCAATTTTTCACTCCTACCCTCAACCCACCCCCTACCACCCCCCCCACCCCACCCCCAAAAAAATTTAAGTTTGTTTTTAAAAAATATTTTCAATTTCAAAAATTATTTTCTACCCTAGTAAAAATAAAAGATATTTCTCAAAAAAAAAAATCATTCATAAATCAAACACTAAAAATCTTTTCCGGAAAATATTTTCTACTCACCAACCAAACATGAGAAAATAAGTCAAAAATCAACTTGTTTTCCAGAAAAACATTTTCTAGGAAAACATTTTCCATGGAAAACATTTTCCTTCATACCAAACACACCCTAAAAGTTATATATACTACAAAGAAAAGAATGTGCATGGTAATCAATAAACTGAATTTTTATGTCATGTAGATTTGGACTCGCACTAAATAATGCAGTATCGAAAAATCGACTAAATAATCAAATATCTTTTTACGACGTGGTAAATTATATTTATCGTGTAAATATTAACATACACTTACATGAATATAAATAAATCATTTCTTCAAATTAATAAGGTAATTTATATACTTATGTCTTACAAAAATAGATATATTTGATTTCATGATTTACAGAATTTTAATCTAATTACAGAAAATAAAGTAAAATATGATTAATTACATAAATCTTTGACCATCCCTTGGTTGACCAAATTTATGGTCATTTCATCCCACAAGGAACAGCTAATTAGTTCAAAGTTATTATTACAACATCTTTGTTTTTTCCTTATTATAAATTTGGTAAAGAGAACTAAATAAAAGGAGAAGAAATATTATCACTATTAGTTTAGTTAAGTCTTTCCACAAATAAAGTACAGAAATCACACAAATATATTTGTATCATAATGTAGTATAACTCATTTATAGGTAAGTTATATTCAGTTTTTTAAATGTATCATAATGTATAATCATTATTTATTATGACTTTTGATTATTTTTTATGTAAACAATATATGACTATATTTCTTGTAAACTAATTACTTAATTTTATATATTTGAAACTATCTCTAAGCACTTTATCACATTTGAATCAAAACTCTGAGGCGACTATTACTGCACAACTCGGCATCAGTACTTTCCAAGCTTATACCAAATCTCCCATAGGACTATAGTGTGGCCTTCTTTTTTTTCTTTACATACTTGAGTTTGTAGAGAATAGCAGAAGAAAAGTATAATCGATGAAGCTTCTGCTAGTCCAAAATCGTTAACTAAGATCGAAAGATTCAACTAAAGAAGAGAAAGCTAGAAGGGAGAGAGAGAGTATTTTGGATAAAAGAACTTTGTTATAGAAAAAGACTATTTGATTTGGGTTGTTCTAGGGTTGATTACAAATGTCTAATATCGCCCCTATTTATACTTGTATAGGGATGCTTCTAGAAATTATTCTAGATATATGATATATCTACAAGAAATATCTAGATATCCTTATCTTCTAACTATGTAACAAGAATTTAGATACTTCTATACTTTGTAGAAATCGAATTATCTAGAACATCTAGATTTTTCTTAAGTATAAATATCAAAGACATTTACTCTACAAAATTCTAGAAAATTCTTCTAAATATCGAAGATATTTTTTGTACATTCAAAAAATAAACTTTAATTTTTCACAGAGTTTGATCCTGAAATTTGATCAAATTATAAAAATTCAATCTTGAAATATTTTCAATGAACTAGTTTCGAAATTTCCACTCACAAAACTTTTTTTTTTAAGTAAAATAAAAATATGAAAGGAAAAATAAAACGTTTCTTTAAGTTCAAGATAAAATTTTAAAAAGGCCAAATTTCAAATCAGGTGTTCTGCCCCCTCTCTTATCTCAACTTTGTTCTCTGCACGTTTTTCCTATAAATATGTATTAAAAAAATTTGCCTCCGAAAAAAAATGAAATATTCCAACAAACAAAAATCCCAACTTAGAATTTGACCCAAAAAAGTAGAAAATCTGAGAGTTTTTCTAAATAAAACTTGAGGGAACCCCTTGAAATAGAATTCTTGATCATACATAGAATTCATCTCTTTCTTGAACCTTTGCTAAATCATTCTTTTTTTCTCTCACTATTTGTTACAAAAGAAACCAAAATTTTGCATTTTAATAGCTAAAGATACAATTTTTATGTGCATACATATACATTTTAGGTGTAAAAATTGAATCTTTTAGTGTTTATAGGGGCCACAATCCATCTGATTTATATATATACATTTGTATTGTAATATACATTTGTATATATATTTCAATTCTCTCTTTTAGCTGAGAATTCTTTGAATTGGATTAAAAATAGAAGGTTTTATGGTTGTTTCTTGGATTGCATTGGGTGTTTCTTGAAAAAAAAAAAGGGGGTTGTTGAATACATGCCAAATGCAATTAAAAGAAGGTCAGAAAATGGGATGATCAATATTATAATGGGAAGGGTTGCCTATGTGTTTGGTTTTGTTGCTTTGATTTGTCTTTGGGCAGCAAGAGATTCAGAAGGGAAAAGGACGTTTCCTGGAAGCAATTTAGACTTAGCTGGTCTTTGGCAGGGTCCTGTGATAGACGAAGACACGGTATGGATTTCATTTCACTTATATTCATATGGAGATGAATGTAATGTGCATTCATAAAATGTGTTTAGATATGAGTTGCTTGATGTATATGTTCTATGCATTTGTCTGCTGATAGCTAATTACTATTTTCTGATGAGTTAAGCAATTTCGTTGAAATTTGAAGTAGCTATTTCTAAAAGCTTAAGTTTTTAGATTAGATGGTCATACACTTTCGATATGGTATCAGAGTAGGCAGACGTCCTAGTAATCAAATCTCACAGCAACCCCATTATCAAAAGGAATTTTCATGTGTTTGGACCATGAAAAAGTATCAGGCTTGCACGTGGTAGGGGCATGTTGAAAATACAATTAAATAATAAAAATGTGTTCTCTTTCTAACAGCTAAGGTTTTAGATGAGATGATCACAGTCTTCAACAACTTTCATAAGAGGTTAACTTTTGGATTATGTAAATGAATTTGTGTTTTCGATTATGAGTGGGATTTAACCAATTTGGTCTTTGCCCACAACCAACAAATATGGGCTTAGGAGTCTATGCCAAAGTTTTTAAGGTTTTTCATTTCCAAAAGTTCAGAGACTTAGTTGTTATCTAAGTTGTGCGGACTCTTCACTTTCGATGCCGCACCCATGTCGGTAGTGGTGGACCCAGGATTTTTGCTCAGGGAGTTCAAAGTGTAAAGAAGCAGTTCAGGTGGTAATGCAAGTGCGCGGTGAGAAAAAATTATCTATACTACTGATTCTCCAAAAATACCCTACTTTTGGAGAATCCAACACACACCCGTTGACATTTTTGAAGAGTCCGAGCAACATAAGACTGTTAGTTGTAAAAATGGCTGATATTTGGAGGTTCATAGGAAACAAGAATTAAATCTGTATTTATAACAAAGACAATGCGAAAGGATCTCTTATAATCCACCTTGGAACTAAAATACTGTTGTTTTCCTGAAATCAATAACCTTTTCAACCTATTCCTTTAAACATACATGTATTGCATTGTTAAATTAGGTCTTAGGCCTAACTCACACCCCAAAAGCTAGCTCACAAGTTGCTGTCGCCATTGCTCGATATTCTGATTCTGCACTAGATCGAGCAACCACATTCTGTTTCTTACTCTTCCACGACACCAAATTACCTCCTACTAAAACGCAATATCCGGATGTCGAACGTCTGTCAGAGGGTGATCCTGCCCAATCAGCGTCTGTATATCCAATGATATGCTCATGGCCTTGATCCTCAAAGAGTAGTCCTTTACCGGGAGCTGACTTTATATATCGCAGAATACGAACAACTGCTTCCCAATGACTATCACACGGGGAAGTCATAAACTGACTTACAACACTTACAGGAAAAGAGATGTCAGGTCTAGTCACTGTGAGATAATTCAACTTTCCAACAAGCCGTCTATACCTTTCAGGATTACTAAGTGGCTCCCCCTGTCCTGGAAGGAGCTTAACATTTGGATCCATAGGAGTGTCAATAGGTCTACATCCCATCATTCCTGTCTCCTCAAGAATGTCTAAGGCATACTTGCGTTGAGAAATAACAATACCTGATCTCGACTGAGCAACCTCAATACCTAGAAAATACTTCAATCTGCCAAGGTCTTTAGTCTGGAAGTGCTTAAAGAGATGTTGCTTCAAATTGGTGATACCATCTTGATCATTACCAGTGATAACA